TGGTCCCAAGCTTGGTTTTGTGGTGGCCTTCGGTCACCAACACAGTTTTCTCTGCTTGTGGTGAGCAGCACTGGTCAGAGTGATCACCTGCCCATGGGTGTCCATGCAAGGCATTAGGTCCTGTCCACCAGCACATCCATCCTGCATTGTCTGTGCTCTTCAGCTTGTTTAAAGAGCTTTAAAATGACCCAAAATTGATATAATGGTTTGCTAGAGGCATCTAACAAAGCTGCTGGAACACCCAGGCCTCATTTTCAGGTCCGTCCTGTGCCACCACCTCATGGGCTCTTCCACCATTTCTGCCTCTCCTTGGACTTCTTGGCCAGGTTGGATGTGGCTTGAAGGGCCTTTCCCACCCTGCAGAGAAGGACACAACCATCCCAATCCGAGGCAGGACTTTGGGAATCAGGACCCATCCCAGTGATTTGCTTGCCAAGCACAACTTGAGTTCCTTAGATATTTCCAACAACATCCTCTGGTCTCTTTTATCTGGTTTTGCTTCTCTCATAATTGGCATTTTCCCACCTTTCCAAACATGGAGTAAACTATTCTTTACTCCATTCCTCTGTCACACTTTCAAAGGAGCTCAGGTCCTTAAGGTTTTCCACAGCTGAACTCTCTCTTCAACCTCCTTAATCACTTCTTCATCCAGTTCCACCTTGAATAAATCAAATTCAAGTGGTTTTGCAGGAGATTAAGTGTCCTATTGATGGAAAAATCCTGGGAAAAGCAGAGTGGCTGCTGCGTTCCAACTTAATCCGCACATTCCCAGGCTCACCAGCCTAGACATACCTTCATCTCCTCATTTCTTTTCATTTTATCATCATACCTTAAGGCTCCAAAGGAGCTTTGCAACCTCGCCATGATGCAGTCAGGGAGTATGCAGGGACAAGGGGCCTCTGCCCTGGAGCCAGGCTGGGAGAGCTGAGGGTGACCAGCCTGGAGGGGAGAAATCTCCAGGGAGACCTCAGAGCCCCTTCCAGTGCCTAAAGGGGCACCAAGAGAGCTGCAGAGGGACTTGGGACAAGGGGTGGAGGGATAGGACACCTCAAATGGCATCCCACTGAAAAAGGTGAGATCTGGGTGGGATATTGGGAAGGAATTGTTCCCTGTGAGATGCTGAGGAACTGGAATAGATTTCCCAGAGCAGCTGTGGCTGCTCCATCCCTGGGAGTGTTCCAGGCCAGGTTGGATGGGGCTTGGAGCAACCTGGGCTGGTGGAAGGTGTCCCTGGGTAGAACAAAAGGAGCTTTAAGGTCCTTCCAACCCAAGCCACTCCATGATCTCATGATTTGCTGGTCATCCCAGCCTGCGGTGATGAACAGAGCCATCCTATCCCAATCCCAGGCAGGACTTCAGGAAGCAAGACCCAGTTGTGCTTTGCTTGCCAAGCACAACTTTAGCTGCTCAGTCATTTTCACCAACATCCTATTTTCCCCTTTCTACTGTTTTTTTCCCCAGGGTGGAAGTTAAACTATGTCCTCAAACATGTTGCTCTGAGCAGTTCTGAGCTTTTTCCACTTAATCCCTGGGTTTTTTCCTCCCTTTCTTTGAGGAGAGCATGAAAAGGAAGGCAAAGGGAGGACTGGTTTGCTTCTCATTTTCTTGTGGAGCTTCATTTCTTAGCCAAGCCATGACACAAGGAGCTGCTGCTTCCTCTCTGCTGAGCTGGGGGAGGCAGGGAAATCCTCCAGCGAGCAGAAGGGACAGATCTGGGGGGCAGAGGGAGGTTTGGGGAGGGGAGAGAGCTGGGAGGGAGCAGGGAATGGCTCCAGTTGGATTGGGGAGAGCTTAGTGCTTTGGATTATTTAGGGGTTTGGGGTGATTTGGGTGTTTGGGGATATTTATTTTGGTGATTTAGGTTATTTAGGTATTTTAGATTATTTGGGCAATTTGGATTATTTATTGGGGGGATTTGGGTTATTTGAGTGTCTTGGGTTATTTGGGTGTTCTGGGGGTGATTTGGGGTGTTTTGGATGTTTTGGGTGATTTGGATGATTTGTATTATTTTGGTGATTTGGGTGTTCTGGATTATTTGGGGGTTTGGGGATATTTGGGTATTTTGGGTGTTTTGGATGTTCTGGGTTATTTAGGTGGTTTGATATTGTAGTTTATTTGGGTTCTTTGGGTGTTTTGGATTATTTGGGTTATTATTTTGGATTATTTGGGTGATTTGGGTGATTTAGGTGTTTTGTATTATTTGGGAGATTTAGGGGCTGGAGTGTTTTGGGTGATTGGGGTGTTCTGGGTGATTTGGATTATTTGATTTACTTAGGTGTTTGGGGTTATTTGGGTGTTTTGGGTTATTTAGGCATTTTTGGGTGATTTGGGGTTTTTGGGCTATTTATTTGGGTGTTTAGGCCTATTTGGGTGTTTTGGGTGATTTGCATCATTAGGGTGATTGGGATTATTTGGTTTATTTGGGTGATTTGGGTCTTTTGGGTGACTTGGATTATTTGGAGTTATTTGGGGGTTTAGGGCTATTGGGGTTATTTGGGTGTTTTGAATTATTTGGGTGATTTGTGTGTTTGAGGTTATTTGTGTGTTTGGGATTATTTGGGGGCTTTGAGTTATTTGGGGGCTTTGGCTTACCTGGGTGTTTGGGGTGATTTGGGTGTTTGGGTTTTGGGGTGTCTTGGGTTATTTGGAGTATTTGGATTCTTTGGGTGTTTGGGGATTATTTGGATGTCTTGAGCTATCTGGGTGATTTATTTGGGTTATTGGTTGGTTTGGGTGTTTTGGATTATTTGGATTATTGTATGTTTGGTGTTTTGGGGTTCTTTGGGATGTGACTTCTATATCATTTTACTAACCTCCCAAGCTTTGGAGCCCAGACTTGCAACCCTCCTAGCAGAAAAAGAGTCTGTGTGCAAGCTCATGGGCAGAGCAGCATCTCCTGGGGAACTCTTCCCCAATCCCTGCAAGCAGCACCTTCCAAACAGCTGCTAAAGCCCCTTCCCAAGCTGCCAAGTTTCCGTGGGAATGTGACAGCTCCAGCTCATGCATCATTCCATGGACCCAGAAAGGAAAAACAATCCCATTGTCCTTGGGAGAGAAGAATTCCACTTGTGGGAGCTTCAGAGTCCCTTTGCATTCCAAAGCCTGGAAATACTTGGGTCTTCTTTGAGCTCCTCCTGCTGCAGCTCTGGGTCCTAATATCAACCTCATAACTGCTGGAGCTCATGAATATTCATTAATGAGTGGTGTGATAACATTCATGTGTGACTATTAATCAATGGGCAGGTGGGATTTCCTGGGAGGACATCAAGGTGGAACTGCTCTGAGTTCATGTTTGATCCTATTTGTGTTCAGTTCTTTGGGAATGAAGAGTTACAGAATGACATAATCTCCTGAGGTGTCTCAGCCTTTATTCCTTTTCATCCTCAAGGTCTTTTTCTCCACCTCCTCCACCTCCTCTCTGAGCAACCAGACATTGATATCAGAACAGATGCTGAAGGACATGAGAAAACTCCTTGTGGAGTTCAGTGAGAAGGTCCCAAACTTCCCTGAGATGCTGTTGAGGACAGCTCCAGATGGATATTATTCTCCCCTAATTACTCCCCTCATAAACAGCTATAAGACAGGAAGTATCTCCATGAGAATCCTGAAACACAGCTTAGCTTTTGGTGCTTTTCATTTGGTGACCAACTCCATAGTGATGGAACAAAAGAATGAGTGGTTGGTGCCTTTGGAGAAGAAACACTTGAAAGAATGACCATTCCTGGTCTAACAGAGAACATCTGTGCTGGGGCTGGTGGCTTTTCCAGCTGTTGGGTAGGGCTGTGTGGAACAAAAGAGGTCCTGTTTTTCTGGAGATCCAGACTTGGATGGTTTCATCCATAGATAGCAAAAGGAAAGGCAGATTTATTTTGGGCAAACACATTGGGAGCAGAAGGTGCCAAGAACTCGTGGTTCAGAGTATTTTGGAAGGAGCTTGGAAGGAATGGGCAAATTCCTCAGGTCCTGCTTTCTTCCTCCTTTGGTTTGTTGGTTTGGCCTATTCTGGGCAAGTCCAGAAGGAAGAGTGAGAGGAATGTTTGTCATGCCCCAGACCCATCCTGACTGGGGCATGTATCCTCAGGGGGTTCATCAGCTCCTCTTATTTTGGAGAGCAGATTGATGCCCAATGTCCTAACCCACCCCTGGAGATCCAACCATATGGCTCCAGGCTGCTCATAACAACTCCAGGTTGGAGCAGATTCCCTTTTCCAGCTTTATAGTGGGGAAAATTCCTCGTGGATCCCAATGTGAGTTGCTCTAAGTGCTCTGCCAGCTTCTTGCTGTTCCTTTGGGTTCTGCTGGGCAGGACTTCATACACATCCATGTCCTGAAGACATGAAGTGGGAGATGTCCCTGCCCGTGGCAGGGGGTTGGAATGAAATGATCTTTAAGGCCTTTCCAACCCAAACAATTCCATAGCTTTATGAAGAGGTTACTCCATAAGCAATGGTGAGAGGGACAATCTGTCCCTCCTGCCCAGGGTCAGCTGTGCCCACCTTGGGGACCTCAGGTGATGCTGAGGGTCTTGGTGTCATCCTGGTGCTGATATTGGCCATGAACTCAGGTGGTGGTGGGGGTCCATCACTCCTCCCAGATGGTTTTTGGGACCTCAGGTGATGCTGAGGGGTTTAGTATTGTCCTGGTGTTGTTGCTGGCCATGAGCTGAGGTGGTGATGGGGGTCCACGACTCCTCCCAGATGGTTTTGGAGCCCCCACTTTCTGCCAAGCATCAGGGCCTGAATTCCAGGCAGCATTGAGTCATCACCCCAGCTTTCTGCTGCCTGATCCCATGGAAAGGGGAAGAAGTAGTGCTTGCACTGAGCCAGGTTGGGAGAACAACCATGTCCATCCAGTAAGGAACCTTCTCCTGACACCTCCCACTCCACCAACGAGAGATTTGGGCTGGAAAATCCTTTTGCCCAGGAGGATTTCCCTCCATGGGTTTATTCCCAACCTCTGGGCACTGATAGAAGGCACTGACTGACTCCTCTTTTCCACAGGTTGGTGGTGGGAGCTCCCTACGAAACCAATGGTCATCAGAAGACAGGAGATGTCTACAAGTGCCCATTGACCAGTGACAGCCACAGCAACTGCACTAAACTCAACCTAGGTACAGCCCCCAAGGGGCACTGGGGATTACCAGGATGATTTTTGCTCTTAGGCTGTGAAATTCACCCTGTTGTGTTGGCCAAATTGTCCTCAAAGTGTGAGATCTTCATGTTTTAGGAGGACTTTCAGCTAAGGAAGTATCTCAGGTGTTCACATCACTCCTGGGGCTAAGCTTTGAGCAACACAAGGGTGAAATGGAGCAAAATTAAATGAAGGGTAAGAGTTAATTGTTTAATAGAGCTTAAAATGGTTCATTAAGTGATCAGGATGAACTTCTCAATGGAGAACTGTCCCATGAGGATCTGCGTTCCCTCTCTGGGACGGTTGGATAATGTGTCCATCATAGAGGGTTCCCTGAGCACAGGCAAGTTTTGCTTCCAGCACCCAACCTACCTTTGGATTTAGGGATTTATCCCATGACCCCCAGGCTCCATCACAGCCCAGGGATGCTCCATGCCCACAGACATCCCAATCTCATCTCCTTGGATGGAGAAATGAGCTCTTTCTTGGGGTTTCTCCAGCCTGAGAGCACAACATCATGACGTCAGGGCAGTGTAACTCATGTAGGACAAGTCCCCTTTGCTGCCCGAAGTGGGATAATCAACAGGCACATCCTTGTCCCAGCAGGGAATGTGAGAACCAGAAAGTTTCTCATGGTCCTGAGGAACATCTCTGGGCTTTGGGACAAGATCTGGGAGGTTTATCTCTGGAGCAGCTGCTGCTCTCACTTCATTTTTCATCATTACGGATCTGAGCTCTCTTGGTTTCCTACCAAAGCTGATAAGAGGAGGAACTTTCGATCCTCTGCAATATTTGATTGATTAGCTCCAATTGTTTTCTTTTCAACTGTTTTTTTGGTCATTTACTGTGGCACCACCAAGATTCTTCAAGGCCATAAATCTCATCTGTGTATAAATATAAACCTTGCTAAAAATCAATCTATTTTCCACTGCAAATGACTTGCAAAGATCAGATTCCATGAATACATCCTGGTTTGATTTAGTCCAAATCAACTTATCTAGTTAACACAATTCAGTGAGGTCATTGGAGTGGAAATGTGTGTGGAGCAGCCCCAAGGGGATGCCCAGTTCCCTGGAGCATGAAGAAGCAGGAGGTGATGTTGGAGCAGGGATCTGGCCCTGTCCCACCTCACCAAGCAGGCAGTGTGTGCAGGAGTATCCTGGTGACCACTCAGAGCTGTGGTCTCAAGGTGGGACAGGAGGACAATAAGGTGGCAGAAGCTCCACCAGGATCCTGGAGGGTTTGGATATGGACTGAAGCCTTTTTTAGTTTGATTTTGGGCAATGTCCTGAGCTTTCTTCAACCCTCTGTCTGCATGGACATGTGGGTGAGAATTAACTGATCCACAGGGAGAAGCAAGAGGTTGGTGATATCTCCTTGGCTTGAGACTGAGCTTCTTTGAGTTCTGGGTTGTGGATCTTGGTTTCAATATAAACCTCAGCAAGAGGAAATGACCTCAGATTGTACCAGGGGAGGTTCAGGTTGGATATTAGGGGAAATTCCTCCCTGGAAAGGGTGGTCAGGGATTGGAACTGCCCAGGGCAGTGGTGAAGTCACCATCCCTGAGGGATTTAACAGCCACATGGATGTGGCACTTGAGATCATGGTTAGTGGTGGCCTTGGCAGTGCTGGGGGAGAATACTTGGGACTTGATAGTCTGGAACGTTCTGGACCAGATGACCCCTTGTGGTTCCTTCCAACCTACCTGATTCTGTGATTCTCTAAAGGTCTTTTCCAACCTTAAATGATTCTGTGATTCCAAAAGACTTCCAAAGCTCACAAGCAATGAAACCAAACCCCCAATTTTACCATTAATTGCCTAATTTCCTCCTTTTTACTTGGAGAAGGGCCTGGAGGGACAGGACACAGAATGGCTTCCCGCTACCAGAGGGCAGGGATAGGTGGGATATTGGGAAGTACTTGTTCCCTGTGAGGTGCTGAGGCACTGGCACAGGTTGCCCAGAGCAGCTGTGGCTGCTCCATCCCTGGGAGTGTTCCAGGCCAGGTTGGATGGGGCTTGGAGCAACCTGAGCTACTGGAAGGTGTCCCTGATAGGAATGAGATGAGCTTTAAGGTGCTTCCTGCCCAATCCATTCCAAGATTCTGTGATTCCCAGTTTGCTTCCCTGGCACAGGAGGGAGCATGGGTCACAGGAATCTGTTTTGTCCAGAGCCCTGAAGCAGAGGAATGTGTCGATTAGGCTGAATTTGGGTCACAGCTCAATGCTATTGGCATCGAGAGAAAGCCAGAGCTGCCCTGGAGGCTATTCCCAGTTTCTGGGCTGGGATATGGAAACCAGGGCAAGACACAAAGATAGATCAGCCACTAATTGCCTATAAATTAAAGATGCAATAAAGATGAGGTCCCTGAGCCCCTCAGAGGAGTTTCTGACTGACATAGAGATCCTCTCCCTGACTCAGCCTCATTCCCTAGAAGACTTTCCTCTTCCTTGCTTTGGCATCTAGGAAAAGAACCAATCCAACTGCTCCCAAAACACAACAGCACAAAGTCTGCAGTGTGAGCAGGCAGACACAGCTCTCCTCTGGCATCCATTTGCTCCAGAGGTGCCAGGGAGCACCACAGGACCATGGGCTGTGTGCCTGCAGCTGGTCCTGACCACATCCTCTTTCCCAAGGCCGAGTGACTCTCTCCAACGTCTCCGAGAGGAAGGACAACATGCGCCTCGGGCTCAGCCTGGCTACCAACCCCAAGGACAACAGCTTCCTGGTGAGGAGTGGGGGATCTGGGACAGCCTGGCCTCACTGGGAGGGGGGACAGCCTGGGAGGGAGGATTGGTATGTACAGCACACGAAGGTGTGAAAATACTTCGCTCCATGTGTGGTTTGGGCTCTCCATCCGTGGAGGTGTTCAAAACCATGCTGGATGGGGCTTGGAGCAACCTGGGCTAGGGGAAGGCTAGGGGGTGGAAATGCAAGGTCTTTTCCCACCCAGACTGTTCCATGTTGCTGGAGCCTCTGCCCTGGAGCCAGGCTTGGAGACCTCAGAGCCCCTTCCAGGGCCTAAAGGGGCTCCAGGAGAGCTGCAGAGGGACTTGGGACAAGGGATGGAAGGCCAGGACACAGGGAATAGCTTCATACTACCAGAGGGCAGAGATGGATGGGATATTGAGAAGGAATTCATCCCTGTGAGGTGCTGAGGCACTGGAATGGATTTCCCAGAGCAGCTCTGGCTGCTCCATCCCTGGGAGTGATCCAGGCCAGGTTGGATGGGGCTTGGAGCAACCTGGGCTAGTGGAAGGTGTCCCTGCCCATGGCAGGGGGTTGGAATGGGATGACCTTTGAGCTCCTTTCCAACCTAAACCATTCTGTGATCATATGACTCCATGTTTCCTGCCCCACAGAGCTCAGAATCTTCACCATCCATGGGGAAAAAAAAGATCATAGAATCATGCAATATTAAGGGGGTAGCATGGACCTTAGAGATGATCCAGTCCCAACCCCTGCCCTGGGCAGGGACACCTCCCACCAGAGCAGGTTGCTCAAGGCTTTAGCCAGCCTGGCTTTGAACACTGTCACAATGAGAGAGGACAAAGGAGAGGAGAAATCCTTGCAAACATCAATGATAAGTGCTAATTTCACCCCATCCCTGATGATCTCTTTCCCCTCCCCAGGCCTGCAGCCCTCTCTGGTCCCACGAGTGTGGCAGCTCCTACTACACCACTGGGATGTGCTCCAGGGTCAACTCCAACTTCAGGTTCTCCAAGACAGTGGCTCCAGCTCTGCAGAGTGAGTACCAAAGTGCTCTGAGGCTCTAACCCTGACTTTGGAGGCTTCTGTAATTATTTCAGTCCCAGGGAGAAAACAAAGCCATGTCAGTGTTGAAGTGAAGGCAAGAGCAGAGAAAATGATTGCAGGGAAGTGATTCAAAGGGGGTTAAAGTCCACAGACATCTGGTAAACATTTGCCTTTTGATTGACACTTGGGGAAGACAAAAAATCCCTTATTCTTCCAAAGCCAGGGATAAAAGTATCCAGAATATTTTATCA